TCAAAGGCAGAAAGATGTGAAAGTAAAAGGATAGCAAAAGATCCACTCTCCAAACAGTAACCCTGTAAGTGAGGACAAATGGCTACACTATCAAAGTGTAGCTGTTAAAACAAGAAATAACAATAGAACGTAAAAGAAACAATTCAACATGGTAAGCCTGTCAATATGAGAAGATAAAATAATTATAAATATATATTATTCACTTAGCAATAGGACCCTCAAACACATGAAAAAGAAACTGACAGATTTGGGAGGATAAATAAACAGTTCAATGAACACAGTTGGAGATTTAAAAGATCTTCCATCAGTAAATGAGAGACCATCCAGTCACAAAATCAGGAGCACCATGGAAGACTGGCAGAGCTCTAGGAACCAGCTTGACAAAATTGACATATATAGAAATTATTCTTCTATGTCACAAATAGGGATCAAACATTGACAGGATGGAAATTTTCCAAACTATATTCTCTGAAGACAAATCAATTTTTGTCCAAAGGAATAAATTAGAAGCAACAACAGAAAGAAATTTGGGGAATTTCCAAAAATGGAATCTGTGAAAATACCTTGTACTGGATGACACAAAACTGAGAATATATCAGAAGTTTTAAGGTGAAACTAACGTGGTGTTTGGAGACACATAGCTCTGTCATTAATACCCAAAAGGAAGAATGTTATAAAATGCATGATCTGAGTAGCTTCCCTCTCAAGACGCTGTACAGAGAAGAGCCTATTAAAGTTAGAGAAGAAAGAAATGATAAACATATACTAAGCTAAAAGCTGACTGTGAAGTACAAATAGTAGTGTAACCCATGGCAGCCCAAGTGGATCAATACCCAAATATCCAATAGCATTAGCAATAGTATGGATGAATGCACTGAAGTAGAATCAGACACTGGAGCAGCAAGGAGTTTGGAGGATTTACAACTTCATGGAACTGTATGGATGAAAAGCACAAGTTTAGCTTCCCCTGAAAATGCCATAAATAAAATATGCATACTGTATCATTCTATTTACATAAATGTTTGTAAATGAAGGAGAAAACATGTAATATTTAATTCTGGTAATATTCATTTTTCTCCGTCATATGATGGTGACACTTGAAAATGCAGCCAGCTGTTGGCATGTATCTCATGTGCAACCATCCGTATGCACATTATACCACAGTAAAATTAACATAACAGAATACCATGAAAATATGTAAATTTATTTAAAACTAGACAAAAACTTGAAAACATCCTACCAAATACAACTTGTGAAAACCAGAACAAAAGGAAATAAAAATATCAGAAGTGTCTTAACTTCTAATATAATTTAATCTCTAATTCAGAAGCTTTTAATACTCAGTTACAGAATATCTAGATGCTTATGAGGAAAGAAAGATGAAATGTCAATTAAAAACCAAAAAGAAAATCTTACAAGGTAGAAAAAAGGGTCTAATAAAATATGTGTTGTGTGTATTTTCTTGGAATACTAAGAAAAGGAAATTACAGGTGAGTAGCAATCTAAACTGATTCTGATAATATATAAAAACAATGAACTACAAGATAAGTAGACTTACTAAAGCAATACCAAGTTGGATTCACATTTGAAATTCCATTAACTTACTCTGTCACATTAGCTGAGTAAAGAAGGTCAAAGGATGTGATTTCTCTGACGCAGAAGATAAAACTAATTTTCATTTTTAATTAAAAAAAAAACATTTAGACTGATAGAAATAAAAAAGAAAACATCCATGCAAAGACCTAGAATAGATATGATAACTCTGAGAAGAACGAATATAAAGCCACTGTTTATGAAAGGACAATTTTTAAAGTATGGATTGACAAAAATATATACAAGATCAAAGAAACTGAAGAGAAAGTGCAAAGTTCATACCCACATGTATATGGAATGCCGATTTTGGCAAGGATGTAAAATCATTCCGCGGAGAAGTATAGTGTTACAATAAATGTTGTGGAAACAATTAGTATCAAATGAAATTAATAATATATACTTTATACTATATACAAAAAATGTTAAAAAATGATCATCTATAAGTGCAAATGATAAAATTTCAAGAAGATGTATTAAGAAAAATATCTGACCTAAAGTTGGGCAGAGATTTCTTAGAGAGAAAGAAAACATGATCCAAAAAAGAACAAACTGATGAAGTGTAGTTCCTTAAGATAATGTCTGCACTTTGAAGAGAAAGGAAAGACAAGTCATAGACTTGAGAGGAAATATTTACAAATAATACATCTAATAAAATACTTGCTGCCAGAATACATAAAGAATTCTCAAAATACGATAACAAAAAGTAAAAATATAACAAAAATATTTCAAAATACTTCATCAAAAAGCATATATTGATGGCAAATAAATAGAGAAAGTTGCTCAACACTATCAGTCTTAGGAACATTCACATTAGAACCACTATATATCAGAATTCCTATTCCAGCAAGAAGGAGAGGATATGCTGCTAGTCCCTACTTCCTCCACCAAATACAGCTAAAACACCTGGATATTATACACAAAACAATATAACATTCAAACAGGTGATAAGAAAGTTGACAAAACTGCGCCCTCTATCCCCGAATGACACGGCGGCGAGCGCCCTGGAATTTCTCTTTGCCTCACATATCCCAGACTGGTGAGCAAACCACAGACAGCAAAGTGCACAGACAAAAGGCCCCAAAATGTTTTTTTCTCTCTAGTCAACATAATAGAGAAAAAAAAAAAAAAGACATGCTATAAAGACCCAAACAAACAAAAATGTTGTAGATATTAAGTTAGTAATTTCAATCAGCCACTGACTATTCAAAGGGCATATCACTCAGGAATGCAGGGAAAATCAAGACATTCTGAGATAAAGGAAAACTAAGAAAAGTGTCACCGCCACACCCACTCTGAAAGAACTGCTAAAGGGAATTATCCAAACAGAAATTAAATGGTAACAGAAGCAATCTTGCAAGAATCATCAGGAAGAAATGGAAAACAAAAGAAAGTATAAAACTGTCATTAGGTCTAAGGGACTTCGCTTCAACTCTAGTGTCTAAATTGTTTGGTATTTGAATGAAAATCATCAGTTGAAGCAAAGTGATAACATTCATGTAATTCTCCAACATAAGTAGAGAAACATTTAAAACAAAGTAGAAATTAGACACAGTAAAGGGACATCAAGGAAGGGAAGGCTCTACATTTTACTCAGAGTGCAGTGGGTTGTGACAGATTGTGTAGACTGATATATGTGTTTATAATTTTCTATATAAATATATATACTATCTACGTTGTTTATATGAAGCAGATTAGAACATATGTGGACATGTATATGACTATATATGTATAAAGTTATTTATGAAGAAAAGATCGACTTTGCTTTACATTATGCTCCATCAATTAGGTTCATGATGTAGAAAACTATAACCTTCACATTTATCTCACTGCATCGCACATACAACATCACCAAAAATAAATTCCAGTTGGATCAGAAACTCTAATTAAAGTGAAAAATTAATAAATAAAGAAAAAAGATAAAAGTAATATGAGAAATTATGTTTATGAACTTTGACTAACTTCTGAAATAGGTTCAAAATAATAACACCCAGATGATATGTGGGACCATGGTAATATTAAAATTCTGATCATTAAAGGATTCCAATAGGGGAGTAGAAATGCAATACACAGCTATTTCCATCTTGTAAACTCAAAAAAGAACTCATATTTAAAACACGATAAGGACTTCCAAGAAGACAGAATAAAACACCATTTAGGAGAAATGAGTAAGGGACACACTCGACTCCTTCTCACTGAATAGAATATCCTTATAATTCACAGCCTAGAAAAAAAAAAAAAAAGATACTGTTATATAACCACCAGAACTTTTTGTCATAATTTTTCTCAGACCTCTGAATTTTTGGATCAAGGGACTATTTTGTACAATGTATTTACACAATACATTAGATAAATAGGGATAATGTAATATATTGAAAGACATATCTATGATCAGGCAATTTCATACTAATGCTTAGAAGAAAACGTATAATAATCATATGTAAATACAATTATAATGTTACATTTATGTATTGTTATTTTGACAAATGCATTATTTATATTTCATAAATATAATATACTATGCACTATGTAGTTATGTATAATAAGTTATTATAAATACAATACATGGAAAACACACAGAAAAAGCCTTTCATAAAATAATTATTCTTGATACGCACATACTAAAAAGGATGTAAGTTTCTGAGAATAGCTTTTAAAATGTCCTATTCATATAAGACAGCAGCAGTGAAAATTCACAAACTATAGACAAATGGAATAATATAGATGGATTACAAATATCAAACAAGAAGAAAAGGAGATACACATAATAATGCATACTGCATGATTCCATCAATATATATGCCAAGAATTAGCAAAGACATTTCACAGTAATAAAATTGGCAGGGCTAATAGAGGCTCTAAACTTCTCGCTCATGATCTGATTTGTAATTATGTTCTGACTGTTTTGTGATGAATATGCACAATCATATAGTTTTCTTTTTTTAAGATTTTACTTATTTATCTGACAGAGAGATCACAAGCAGGCAGAGAGGCAGACAGAGAGAGAAGGGGAAGCAGGCTCCCTGCTGAGCAGAGAGCCTGTGTGGGGCTCAATTCCAGGACCCTGAGATCATGACCAGAGCCAAAGGCAGAGGCTTAACTCACTGAGACACCCTGGTGCCCAAATCATATAGCTTTCTTGATGTGTGGTAAAAAATATAATAAGGTTATTTCAGGCAAAAGATAATTTATTATAAAAGTATGGCTTTCTATGAAAAGCAAGAACTAGAAATTATTAAATGTATATTAAAGGTATAAAAATAGTAAAATATCATAGAGTCAAACTATGCAATATTAACAGACTTTAAAATAAATGAACAAGAAATATGTATGACTATATGGATGAGATCTACAAATGTAATATTAAATGATAAGCATTTAATAAAGGCTGGAAACATTTGAAACCTCACCGTTTCCTCTTCATCCTCTATGTGGAGCAGGGTAGAGTTCTTAGAAGCACAGGACAACCGACTCTCATTCCATGGTTTTCTTACAGTGCTAATGTAATAGCAATTTTTGGAATATGTAATCCACTCTTTTGGACAATGACCACATGGGTCAGCTAAAGAAAGATTATGAGATATTATCCAAAAGGCTTTGGATATTAAAACTTACAAGTTTGCAACTTTCGTATGTATATACAAATGTGTATAAAACACATCATTTTACCCTCACAAGCGGGCAAAAATAAAACACAGGCACACTCCCAGAAGAGTCAGGCTTTCATCCCTTACTTACATGCCAGTATAAAACAAACAAACAAAAATGTCCATCTTTACATGTACTTCGAGTTCCTGAACAAAACTTTTTTGGAATTGTATAATGGTTTATATCATATCATGCTAAAGCAGGAGTAAATTTGAGACCATTGGTAACAATGGGTATAGTAACTTTATTTTAAGATCTATTTATTTATTTGAGAAAGAGTGAAAGAAAGCATGAACCTGAGGGGTAGAAGGAGAGGGGGAGGGAGAGAGAATCTCAAATAGACTCTGCACTGAGCAAGGAGCCGACATGGGGCTCAGTCCCAGGACCCTGATTTCATAACCTGAGTCAAAACCCAGAGTCAGATGCTTCACTCACTGAGCCATCCAGCCATCATGTATGCTGATTTTAAATTAATATTTCCTCATACTGTTGTGTAAGAGGTAATATTTCTCCTATTGACAATTTACTACGCAATTATGACAATTTACTACGCAATTTTCTAATTCATTTTCCCCAAAATCATCTATTATCATCCTTGTCTAGCTTAAGATACACACAAAATACATGCTATCTGTCTAGCTTAAGATACACACAAAATACATGCTATCTTAATATCAGAGTTTTGGAAATGATTTTCTACCTTTCTGGGTCGTTATTTCCGCAGACGGCTTGTTCTGCACTGATCCTGCAGTAACTAGAAAAATTAAAGCAATGCTCATAAAACAACATTAAACTAAATAAATCATTATGATTTGAGTTTCCTAGTTTGAACTTTGGTATATTGTTTAGAATGAGAAAACTCTGTAACAAAATTGATTTTACCCATAAAAATTAAATAAAATAGTGAACATGTGGGGGAAGATAATTCAAAAGTTTAAAGAATCAAACCTCACAGTCTTTTACAGTATTTGGTTTAACCAGTCTCAAGAGCTAACTTGTATATCTCCATAAAGTTTCTCCCATAATTTGTATTTCAGGTATGAAATCGGAATATTTGTGTAATATGCTCTATATAGAGTTATTCTGTTATTTCTACTTTTGACAGATTCAGAATAACCATTCCACACTTAGAACATACATGCTTTAAATTGAGGTAATACCATTCCATAATATTGTGCAACATTCCGAGCACCAATGATCATTAAAGTGAAAAATTCCCTTGTCATTGAAACACTTACAGTGAGTAACAGCTATTGTGACCACAGTGGACATCAAGACAAGGCAGATGATTCCCAGGATCCCAGCAATGAGCTTCCCTGGACATGAAGGTAAATAGTTGGAAGAGAAATGAAAATGCTCAGAAAACATGGATGGAAAACAATCATTTAGGAGATTTACATACAAGAGAACCAACAAAGCACAGGGAGTCACATATAAAAATTTGGACCCCAAACTTGTATCGACCATTGTAATCTTCTCTCAGAATATACCATTACATTTGCAATAAATATATTACCCCCATAAGATTGGGTTAAGGCCACGAATTACAACACTTGAACAAGGTTCATCCTCAGATTTCAATTACAATATCATATTCCAGCCGCAAGCTCTGATCCACACAAATGAAAAATATGGGAGATCATTCCCTACTCATTCCCTGTACCTCTGCTCCCCAAGGGCACATTCTAGAACAGTATACTGTGTCTGTATTAAGTATTTAAAGGTATTAAGTACTTAAAGGTAATTAAGTATTACCTTTCCATTGGTAGTTCTTGCCATTCCCTTAAGATCCCAAGAAGCATCTTGAAGAGTTAATTCTGCATACGTTATTTCCTGCTCTGTTCCCGAAACGCCACTTTTAGTGCCCTTAGCTTTCACTTGCTGTCTTCTTAAACCCTTAACCTGACTGAGTTCTGCATAGGTAACTTCTTGGTTATTCATCTCTGCAACTGTATGGTGTCAGGCACAGGGCTGAATGGGACTGTACTGAAGGACTTGATGAACAAGTGTCCCACTGTGGTGGGACAGTCACAGTGGGTGGAGTGTGTGGTGAGTGGTAGTACTCATTTGCTGTTGAACACTGTAAAATGTAAAAAATGTAAAAGTAATGTAATGTAAAAAAATGTAAAAAAAATGTAAATGTATAACAATGTAAAAATGTAAAATGTAAAATCTCTCTGGAGCTTTAAAGAAGTGCTTTATGATGAAATAAGTGGTTTTTATAATGATATTCTCTGACACAATAGTATTGGTTGGAAACATGTAAAGCAACAAATTATTGAAGAAAAAGAATTCAGGAATAATATTGTTCTCATTAATGTAAGGCCAGATTCCACAGAACAGGTCAACACTATCAGAATAACTGGGTTAATATTTAAATGCTGCATTAGAATGAAAATGCTGCATCAATTTTTTTGACAAGTTTTAAATGCATTATTGGTTAAAAAAATTGAGTCCCCCAGATTAGGGAATATTAGTTTTGGCACATATAGGAATTTCCTGGAGTAAATTACTTTTATTTAAGACTCAGGTTTCTTTACTAAAATGTCATGTAGTGCTATCAAGTGGTCTTTTACCTTGAGTAATTGTGGCGTTCGAAGAAATCGTTAAGTTTTAAAAGAAATCTTTTATGTGTTGAAAATGTTACATGACACAATAAATTTATCCAAATCCTGAAAAATAATGAAATCAAAAACACCAAAACTATTTTTTAAAGTACTTACTTAACACCAGAAATTGACAACCGATTTAATAGTAAAGGTTTGAAACCATAAAATGATAAATAAAAGTGTAGTTCATTTATGGAAGAACACTGTTGGTACAAACTTCCAGAAAAACCTAAGAATGTCAAAGCAGTAGGGAAACTTTAGTTGTATAAGGAATTCTAATAAATGAAATAAATGTAATTTCATAATTCAGTCAATGAGCTCAGCACTCAGTGAAATATAGAATTACTCCTGGCTCTCAAATTTACAAACTATGACCTTTAAGAAGTTATTTCCTACCTAGCTACCTAGTTTATACTAATCTAAACTGGGAATTAAAATATATAAAATAAAATGCATTTAATGCACTAAACATTCCATTCAGCTTTTCTAAGTTCTCAATAGTATATTAGTTATCTTAAGTACTCTTAACAGAATAGTCACAGTATCATTGCTGATTCATATCCTTAGAGCAGGTAACATAATCCATTAGACAGGCTTCTCTTTCAGTATTAAATATCCTTTTTTTGCCAAGTTTTGATCAATTTTTTAAAAGTTTTTTGATTATTTCATACCTAAGTATAAATTAGTATTTTCCAGAAGGTACTTCATCTGCTTTCCATGAACAATCAAACTACTTTCATTTAACAAAGCAAGTATATGAGGAATTACATTTGACTTTTATGATTGAAGGCTTCATCTTAAATTATTTTTTTCAAATATTTATGTAATTCTATTTAGTTGACATATAGTATGATATTCGTTTTGAGAGTAGAATTTAGTGATTCATCACTTACATATAACCCCAATGCTCATCACTACAAACGTCCTCCTTAATACCCATCTCACGTTTAGCCCATCCCCTGACTACCTGCCTTTCAGCAACCATCAGTTTGTTCTTTATAGTTACAAATGTCTTATTGTTTGCCTCCTCTCTTTTTTCCCCCTTCACCTATGTTCGTCTGTTTTAAGAATCTATTTTCAAAGACTGGGCTAAAGATCAAGTAATATATGTAATTATATCTATATTGATGACAAATCCAAAATTAACTGTCGCTTCTCATGATGCTTATGGGATTTCACATGAAATTAAACTGATCTGCAGACACAATTATGTGCGTGTATATGCACCTAATTACTTCTCCACAGGCAAGAATTTGAATACTTTAAGAAATTCTCCAGTGTTTTTCATATCCCTTCTTGTCTGTTACCCTAAATTGTTGGAATAAGTGTACCAAAGTTCTCTGTGATTTGATTGCATATTAACTGAACCTCATGTGCATCCCATTCAGCATCTGTATCTCCCACTAAGTGAGGCAGCTAGGAGAGAGACAGCAGAGGAGTGACACATACCTTCTGTTGGCCACAGAGTCATACATCTTCCACTGGGAAACCAGGTTACTCTTGTAAGGTATCTGTATCTTCACAGACTCTCGGCCCTGTGAGAGAGCTCAGAGAGAGGTAATAGTGGAAAAAGTAGATTTCTCTTCAATGTGTCACTTAAAATTTGAACAGGAAATCCTTACACTTGGTCTATTTTGAAGACACTTTATCTCATCATACAACTCCAGAATATCCGAGACTTTCAGCTTGTAGTGTGTCAGCTAATTGCGACATGACTCTGAGAAATGTTTATGTTCCACAAGATATTGGGGTCACAGGCTTGACAACCCATGCTGTTAACTTGCTTTTTTCTCGGTCACAAACGCTGAGACCTGAAAATTCAGGTCTTTGAAGAGTATTTTAGATGCATCAGTTCTATTTATACACAGGTTGCTAAATCTTGGCATAACGTGCTTCTTTTTCTTATACTCTCCTGATGTCATTACTACTATAATGGGAAAAATCTGTAAACACCACCCCATTCACAACAGGAGTTTAGTGATATTTATCTCCAGCTATTTTGAATGTGCATTGTCAGATTCTTTCTATACATCTGTTGAAATCTTCATATGGTACTTTACATTTTTATGAATATGGTGTATCACACTGTTTTCTTTGTGAATATTGACCAACCCTCGCCGCCAAAAATTAAATTCCACTTGATTCTTTAAATTACTGTTGGATTTGATTTGCTAGTATTTTGTTGAGACTATTTGCACCCATGTTCATCAGGAATACTGGCCTGCGGTCCTCTTTTATAGTGGAGTCGATTAGGCTAATGCTGGCCTCATATAATCAATTAGGTGGTTTTCCTTCCATTTCTGTTTGTTTGGAATTTTTTGAGGAGAATAGGTATTAACTCTTCTTTAAATGTTTGACAGAATCCCCTTGGGAACTATCTGGCCCTGGAGTTCTGTTTGTTGGGAGATTTTTGATGACTGATTCGATTTCTCTGCTGGTTATCGATGTGTTCAGGTTTTCCATTTCTTCCTGTTTTGGTTTTGGCAGTTTATGTTTCTAGGAATGTATCCATTTCTTCCAGGTTGTCCCCATTTGTTGCTCTAAATGTTTTTTTAATACTATTCTCTTAGGGCACCTGGGTGGCTCAGTCATTAAGTGTCTGCCTTTGGCTCAAGTCATGATCCCAGGGTCTTGCATTGGGCTCCTTGCTCAGTGGGGAGCCTGCTTCGCCCTTTGCCTCTGCTTACCACATTGCCTGCCTGTGCTCTCTCTCTCTTCTTCTCTTAAGGAAAATAATATTCTCTTATAATTGTATTTCTGTTGTGTTGGTAGTGAAAAAATGTAGCCCATTTTATTTAAGCACAGTTACACATATAGTACATGAAAGAGATATAACATATTTTTGATTTTGAATTTTCATGGTGATAATGTGTCTGTAAAGACTTCTTGGTGGGTTGAGTTTGGGGGAGATAATGAAGTAAAGATTGAGAAATACTGTATTATAAAGTAATGTGCATAAATTGAAAAGATCAGATCTCCCAGGTTTTTGCTTGGTAAGTCTGTAACAGCTTTTTCAAGAAGTAGGAACAGATGAGTAGCATGCTCTGACTTCATTATACTAGTCTCAATTTGGCAGACAAAAAGTAATAAGAAAATTAAGAACAAAAACAGGGAGACTCAAAATACTACAGGGATTTGGTGGCTTGGGCTAAGGTAAATGTGGCAATGGCAATGAGAGATTGGACTCTGGAATACTTTGAAGTCAGTATTCTCTAATGTGAGAACGTGGCCTGAGAAAGAAGGAAAGAGGTCATGGATGAAGCATGTGCTTTATCTTGAGTATCTGAAAAGAGATTGAATCTTGTTTCCATTCAATGAGCTGGGAAGGATTATACATGATGTGGGTGTGATTAAGAGTCTGTGTTTGGACTGGACATCCGAAGAGTGAATTTTTTGTGAAACACAAAAATGGAAGAGTTGACTAAGGGCTCAGAGATCAATGTCCTAAAGTGAATGGTGAGTTATGGGCAAGAAAGTATAAAACTGGGCTTTTCAGCTTGCACGTGCTGCTTAAAACGAAGTAACAGAGATGGTCACCCAGGATCTTAAAGTGGATGTAAATAAGAGGAAGTTCTAGGATAAGCTCTGAGACTCTCTCATGTAAAGAGGAAGAGGAGAAGAGGTGAAATCAGCAAACAAGACCAAAAGCGCAATGAGGAGATAGGACTCAAACCCATGAAAACTATGTTGCCATGGGTACCAAGTGAAAAAATGTTTCCAGGAGGAATGAATGATCCACTCTGTTGAACTCTGCTGCTAATCAAGTAAGATGAGATTTTGTTATTTTGTGTACAGAATAGGGAATGGTTCCAGTGAGCTGTTGGGGCAAAAATCCAATTTGTCATAGATTCAACAGAAAATGGAAGGATGCAAATTAGAAATAGTTTTACTATGATGCAGCACAGTGTTTATTAAAGGTATCTTTTCCAATAGCGAGGAACTGTGTTTCTTGAATGGGACGATCCAGTGGACAACCAGTCCTGACTACCACCACATATGCTCTCTTCCAATATGGCTTATCTGCATTCTCTCAATGATTCTGAACCTCTCTGCAAATGTTATCCCTCATACCTGTAGCTTTTATAGTTTCTCCCTCCTTTTCTCTTGTCTTGTTCGTTCAATTCACTTACTTTCTCCCGAATCTTTTCTAACTTGTTCTTTAATCACTCCATCAATTATTCATTTAAATATTTTTGTTTGCATTTCTAGAATTCTTCTTTTTGATTTTTAAAAATTACTCCAGGTTTTCCAAAGTCTAACCATCAGACACTAACCTCTTTTTTGGTAGTCACTGTATCCCTTATACTTTTATTCACTCTAAATATTTGTACT